CTTTAAAAAAAAAAAAAAAAAAGGGAGGGGGCCAAAAATGAAAACTTGGAATAGAGAGATATCCATGATTAGAAAATGGAACACCCAAGTACCTGGAAAATTGAAAGAGTAAATAATGACTCATTTTTCCAGAAGTGCACCTGTATCACAAAATATCTGTGTGTTTTCACTTATTAGAACCATATTGAGTGTCAAAAAACAAAACCCTAAAAATTCCCAATATTGGCCCTCCCTGGTGGCACAATGGGTTAGAAGACAGCACTGCAAGCTGGCTGCAGCCGCTTCAGTGAGAGTTCAATCCCCTGCCCCAGAGGAGATCCGCATGTGGCAGACCTCTCCTGTCTCACCGAGTGCTCACCTCAGCAGTGCAGTTATGCTCCCTGCTCTGTCTCTAGTAAATACTCTTACTGCCCCTGCAACTCTGGCCTGTACCCCAGTTCTGTATGCATAAATAATAAACTTTTTAAATATCCCAATATTGTTTTAAAGAAGTTCAGAAGCCTCTGAAAACTTGAGAGCATTGGGATTTGGTGATATTAATTTCAGAAATTATTGAGGATATTATTGCTTTAGAACAAAGTATAGTAGAAAAAGAAAAGTTTCCAGCCTTGAGAAGAAAGTTTTTAAAGCTTAGGTATTTATATTTTAAATTATAACTTGTAAGTATAAACAAGACTTATTAACATAAGTTTTCATAAATGAGAAAAAAGATAAATTATGTTGACTTTTTCTAACATAAACATGAGTCTGTTTACTATTTCTCATCTTTTAAGTTATAATAAATAGTTTTCTTATATAAAATACATAGATGACAATTCTCAATAATTGGTTAATATAATTTTCAATTAAAATTAGCAAATATTATTTTCTTTTACTCTCAAGAAAAATAAATTCCAGGTTCCTCATATTAAGGTATGTTATTTCATTAGTACAAGATGTGAATTGTTATTCTTCAGTGTCGCCTGAAACTTGTTCAACCCTGAGAAAATCTGCTTCATACTTCTTCTTGAGATTATTTAAATATGTTCGTAAACTATCTGGATCCAATTGAGAGTTTCGAGCAGTTTGAACAAGTTTTGTAGCTAGATGGTACACAGCTCTCTGTCTTTCCATCTCAGGGGTACTCTTTTGGTTTTGCTGTTATTGAAAAAATACAGATACAAATTAAGATATGAATACTTTAATTGTTAATTTAAAATTCTGACAATATTTTAGTTCTTTTCATAGAAACAGTGTTCATTGCTATGCAATAATCATACTTTTAAAGGTCACCTAAAAGTACTACTCTGCCATTTACTATTTTAAATCCCTAACAGATAAGCTGGTAGAAATAATGAGTATCAATAAACTTCTTGTCCCTCAGGAGAGTTCAATTGCTAGAGATCAAGTGAAAATACTGCCTGAGGGGCAAATTACTTTTTTAAAATAAGCCACAGAAATAACTTGTAATTATGGCTTGGTTATTTAAAAAATTATACTGAAGGATACCCCCAAAAATGTTTAACGTAGGCATCTTCTAACATAAACATTTTGGAAGGCCTTTAGATATTTAGTCTTTCAATAGTGCTTCAGGAAGCACAGCTAGAAAATTCATTATCCTCTTTGCCTGAGCTAGAGAAGAATCAGCATTTTCAATCTTAACTGTTTGATGGAAAGTCTTAGTGAGTTTTTCTTTACTAAGGGAAATAAAATTCCCTCAACTCTCACTAACAAGCAACACCAGATATTTTTCCACTTTGGCTATAGGTGAAGTGAATTAGATTCTATGGGGCAATACATCTATTTTTACACTGATTAATCAATTATCATTTATTATTTGAATAACAAGAAATAGAAAATGTTTTATCCTATGTTGCAGAACTTGTGCTTACTTTTATAGAGGTTACAAAAATGTCAACCTAACATGACAATGTAACTCAAAAAGTTTGGTCTTATAATGAAAAAGACATGTTTATAAACAGCGTGTTAATATAACTATAAAAACTTCTATAAAAGAGATATAAAGTGCTCAGAGTAAAGAGAATTCACTTCCAGGTCATGTCAACAAAAGCTTTAAAATGATGAACATTTAAAATGGATCTTGATGAATAGAAAAGCTTAGATGAATGGGCATTCTTGAACAAAGAAACAGAGACAAAAGGTGTGGCACACACTTAGGTCAAAATGATGAAAGAAGTGACAGGTAATTCAATGCCACTGACATATAGGCTATTGTGAAAATGAACAGTGTTATCTAAGATTGGAATAATAAAGAAAGGGATATCATAAAGCAGTGATTAACAAACTTGTATGTTTAAAATCATCTGTAACAAGGACACCCATTACATCTACCTTCAATATAGTATTAAAGTCCTCACTAGTGCAATTTGGCAAGATAAGAAAAAGGCATCCAATTTGGAAAGGAAAAGTACTGTCACTATTTGTCACATAAAATCATGTGACATGATCTTACAGATCAAAAACTCTAAAGACTTTACAAATAAATCTGTTAGAAGTAATATGCTCCATAAAATTGCAGGGTACAAAAACTGCATTTCCATGTACTAATAACAAAACTTAG